TAGCGTCTTTAGTACTGCAGCCAGCGGCAGATTATCCTTTTGTTATTTGACTTAAACTTTAATTTTCTAACATCATTTTAATTCTCTTTAAGAAATTATTTTAAATTGTTGCTTTAAATTATTTTTGTTTTTTCTATCTCACTTAATTTCGATCACCAATTTAATCCATTATTCATATATTTGCTCAAATTTGGTTAAAAAATCTGTTAAATAAATAAGAGAAAACACGATTTAACAAATTTATTTCAAAGAAGCATGTTATAATTTTCTACAACTCGAAATTTAAAAACATTTTAAATATATTGTTTAAGTCAATTCGATAAATATAATATTATGGCTTAATTCCTTTAAATTTGTTCGGGAAGTAAATTAAATGGCTTATGACATAATTTGAAGCCAAACTATTAATAATTTACCCTTTGTATGCACATTATGGTTATACAAATTAGTATAGATTTAATAATATAAAATATCGTTAGTATAATAAAATTCTTGATTACGTAATTTGACTATAGGCTCTAAAATTTTCTAAGTGGATTTGATGACATAATATGACATCAATTTTTCTTTTAAACCAACATTAAAGTGAAATTATTATCTAATAAATAATTATATACTATGCTGACTAAATTGCTGCTTTTTGCATTTGTAATTACACTGTCCTATTGTTCAGGCTAGGGCAATCAATATCCTTAAAATTCATTTCTAGAAGATTCATTGATAAGCTAGTAAGATCCTTATGATGTCAACTAATAAGAAGATTAAAGTAATGATAAATATGTCCTGTTTTACTTTCATTAATATTCTAATTTTATTGGATGGGCAATTCTAGTTGATCTGGGAATTATTGCAAATAGATACGGTATATTGCTAAAAAATAAATATGATATTCATGCTATCATTATGAGCCTTGTAGTTTTGCCTTCAATAATAGCCGAATTATTTATGATATTTTCTGGGAATACTCCTCCTCTTTATGGGAACCAAAACCTATAGGGATTTCATAGTATAATTGGATATATATTTTTGGGAATGATGATTTTTTAGATGTTAGGAGGGGTCATAATAAAATTTTGTATTCAATCAGTGAACACATAAACACACCTGAAAATAAAATCCCTTCTACACGTCTATTCGGGATATGTAATATATCTTCTTGGGAAAATCTAATTAGGATTTGGCTACTATATGACTTATCAATTTCAGAATAAAAATGGAAAGGGTGATATAATATCCTTTTGGTGCGTATATAGTTTTATTTTTTTATGGAGAATCATTTTTGAATTCTTATATTAAAAGGGAAAGATATATTTAATATTGATTTAGAAAAATTCAATGCCAAAAGAACACTCCGGAACACTATAAGATTCATTGTTAATCTAATATATTGAGTAGAATGGTATGATATTTAATCCTATTAATTAGAATAATCTCATATTTACAATGAATTTCAGAATAAATTTTGGTTAATTTTTAATGATGAAATCATTGATTTAACAGGATTTACACACCCAGGTGGTTAATATATTTGGGAAAGAGTTAAAGGCCGAGAAGTCTCTAGATTTGTTTACGGAGGCTGTGGATTAGAGGATGGAACAGCTAAATAATATCCTCATTCTTAAAATGCAATTGTACTATTGAAAAATCATATTATTGGATCATTAAATAATATTGCATTTACAATTCCTATTGATGAAAACAATTCAAATAATAGTACTTAATGGAAATTGGAAACTATAACCAAATTAAATGATAAAACAAGTTATTTTGGATTCACTAATCCTAAACCTAATATAATATCTCAATTTACAACTATTCATTCATTTGGCAAATATTTTCAAATCTAATCTATTTAATCTAAGAAAACTCCAATTCGATAATACACATGTGTAGCTTCTATGGCTCCTGAAAATGTTGTTTATAGAAAGGAACTAGTTAAATACATCGACTACATATATACAACAAAATAGTAAGCCAAAGTTCCTTAACAACCTAGGTTTCTGGGCTTAGTGATGCGCT